CCGGGGAACAGGGAAAAAGAACACTGTTGATGTAGTGGTAGTGTCGCTGGACTAGTAATCTAGGTGCCCAGGTTATATTCTGAGGACATGGGACATGCTAACTTGTAGAATTTAAACTCTGCAACTCTGGAATATAAAGTTCATCTCAGTAAAGGCGACCATGACAAATAGCACAGAATTTCTGTAAAAATCCACTCAATTCGCTAATGACCTTCGGGGAAGGAAATCTGCCATGCTTACCTGGTCTGGCCTACACGTGACTCCAGACCAATGCGGTTGACTCTTTACTGCCTTGTCATATGGCCCTAGTAAGCAATTCAGCGCAAGGGTAATTAGGGATGGGCAACAAATGTTGCCTACGTTCCAGTAAAGAACACAGAAATATTAACATAAAGGACTGTATGGTTGCAGGAGGTTAATCAGATGGAGTTTTTGTAACAATTGATGATAACTGTCACTGTCACCAGTAGTCTAACTAGCTTTAATTTCCAAATTTATTAATTGAATTGAAAATTCACCAGGTACTGTGTCAGGATTTGAACCTGTGTCCCCAGACCATTATCCTGGGCTCCTGGATTAATAAGCACCATGATACCACCATCACCCCATTTATATATCACTGTGTTTCTCAAATTCAGGCTTGTTGCAAATCTCGCTGCATTATTTAAAGCCTGGAGTTCCCAGCCTAAACCTCTTTGTTTTTTCTCTCTCTCTCTCTCTCTCTCTCTTGCTTGATCTCTCTCTCTCTCCCTCTCTCTCACTCCCTCTCTCCCTCTCACTCCCCCTCTCTCTCCCTCCCTCCCTCTCTCTCTCTCTCTCTCTGTTCTCCTTTGAGATACTGCATAGAATCGACCTCTTCGGTGGAGCTGTGCATCGTCTGTCTGAATTATCTCCCCCTGCGGTTCGGTGTCAAAAGTTGTTTGACGCATGCAGACCTGACAGGGCTGGGGATGTACCGCTAAGCTCAAGGTGCCACATGAATGCAAGTTTTTGTTGTTGGCATGGGGTGCTGAAGGATGCCAGGCAATGCCCCTCTCAGGGGGCAGTGAGGACAGAGAACGAGTGGGAACGTGAGAATTGACGATATTGCAGTTCAGTGGGTGCCTTTGCTTCAAAGTTCACATCCTTTGCAACCCAGAGGGGAAAAAGTCGTAAACAAAAGCAGTAATACTTGGAAACGAATGTACTGCTCATACTGGAGCACTGTTCTGAGGTATAAGAGACAAGTTGAAGTACAATGCGTCATCCGTGAACTTTCCTGGGTTTTTTTATTACCTTCTGGGAGTGTCTAAAGTTGGAAAGGGTGATGGGAGTCTAGTGGAATTAAAGCCTAGCATCAGGCTTCAATTATCAGTTAGAGACTGGTAGAATTTGATTGATGTGGTAGGTTGCAAGATGAGGGGTGGCACATTGGCTCAGCGGTTAGCACTGCTGCCTCACAGCGCTAGGGAGATGGGTTCGATTCCAGCTTTGGGTGACTGCCTGTATGGAGTTTGCACGTTCTCCTTGTGTCTGTGTGGGTTTCCCTCCAGGTGCTCCAGTTTCCTCCCACAGTCCAAAGATGTGTAAGTTAGGTGGATTATCCAAGTGTAATGGCTGGGCAAGTTAACCATGGGAAATGCAAAGTTACAGGGATGTCCTTCAGAGGGTCAGTGCAGACTCAATGGGCTGAGTGGCCTGTTTCTGCACTGTAAGGATTCTGTGATGTGAATATTCTGCCCTCACTATGGGTGTAGTGTAAATAAAGTTAGTTCAGTAATGGCTGTTTGCTGTCAGTCCCATTGCTGGACCCCATTTGAGAACAATGTACAGTCAAAAATGTTAATGGGTCATTGGCAGCCACTGGGGGATTGAGGGCAGGAGAAAATGCTTCTGCCATTTTCAAAATTCAACTTCGAACATTAACTTCAATTTTCTTTTTGCAAATTTGACAAATAAATCACCTGAAAGGGGTGACGGGGAGTGGCTGGAAGGTGAGCCCATTTTCCCTTTGAAAACTGGTGCTCAGGGCCCTGGTAGAGCCCTGGCATTAGTTCCTGACTTCTCAGTGAGGAGTCTATAGGTTAGGTGAGTGGACAGAAAATTAGCAGATGTAACGTGAGGATGTTCACTTGGGAGAAAGAATGAAAAAACAGAACATTCATCATCATAGAATCCCTACAGTGTAGAAACAGGCCATTCGGCCGATCGAGTCCACACCAACCCTCTGAAGAGCATCCCATCTCCCTACCCTAACCCCGTGACCCTGCATTTCCCATGGCTAACCCACCTATCCTGCACATCCCTGGACAGTAGGGGCAATTTAGCATAGCCAATGCACCCCAACCTGCATGTCTTTGGATTGTGGGAGGAAACTCGCACAGACACAGGGAGAACTCCACACAGACAGTCACCTGAGGTTGGGATCAAACCTGGGTCCCCGGTGCTGTGAGACATCCAATGAAAACTGTTCTTTCAGTGCAAGTCTTTCTTTATTCCAAAAATTTGAAGTCATCAATAACTCTGTTGTCCATGTTGTAAGTTGAACCAAATCCAGTTCATCGATCATCCCTGTGCCAAAAGGACATACGTTGGTTCTCAGTTAAATAACACTGTAAATCTAAAATGTTGAAGCTTATCTTCAATTCCATTTACAGCTTTAGTCCTCCTGATGGCTGTGATGTTCACTAGCCTTACAGCATAACAAAACTTTGCCCTCTTCCAGTTCTGACTTCCCAATTTTAATCAGTTTATCACTGACAACTAGATATAACTGCCACAGATAAAGGGCTGAAGAGCACACATACATTCTTAACACAAACTGAGAGAACTGAGAATGCTGTTGGAGATCAGTCGCTCAAAACACAAGAGGCTTGTTAGGGTGTGAAGGCGTTGAAGCGTAAAATTGATTCAAAGTGTTACATATTTATAGTTAAAAGTGACAAAAAAAGAGAATTCAGCAACAGAACTTTGATTGGGGGAGGAGGCGATAATTTAAACTGATGGAAATTGTACATTGATCTATATTACATGTGTAAAAAAAGTAATGTCAGATCCGATGAAACCAGAGTTTGGGTTTTTTAGGCTCCAGGTAAGATGTCCTGTCTTCCCATCCTCTGTATATTGTTATGCCCAGTAAGATCTAATGCTGTTCACTCAGAAGATTGTATATCAAATTTTATTATAGTCTGGCTTAGATCACAGAAGTCCAAGAAGTGAAGGGTGGTCAAAGAGAAGTGTTTCCACTGGGGTAAGGGCAAATTCGGATATAAGGTAATTGAACAAATGAATCAGATGTAGCAGGAAGTAAATGTTCTTGATACAGCAGATGGCTAGGATTTGGAATGTACTGCCTGAGATGGTGGTCAACACAGATTTGGTAGGATCCTTTAAAACCTCTTAGAATAACTAAACACAGAATTGTGGGAAAGAGCAGGGAAATGAGAACAGCAAAAACAGCTGGCAGAGACTCAATGGGCTGTAATGACGCCCTTTTGAAGTCATGGCAAAGCTTAGTTGGGGCAGCAATAGGAGAGGAGTGGATTGGGCACAGTCAGAGTGGACATGGGAGAGAAATGGAGAGAACCATCGCTGAATCCAGGGACAGAGCTCCTGGGATGATGTTAGGTTTCAAAACGTGTTCAGGGCAAGAGTGTTGGATGCTTAGAAACCAGATTTTAACATCTGTGAGAATTGTACCAGTATGGAAACAGCATGTAAAGTCCTGATTTTTATGGTTCACAGTTTGTCAGGAACAGAGAGAGAGATGAAGAGAGAGTGAGTGAGAAATCTGATTTAGTGAGTAGTGGTTAAGGTTAAGTTATTTGTTCCTAGAGTATTGTTTGTAGTTGCTAAAGTTCATAATGGCAGTAGAATGTGGCCCTGCGGAATGGTCCTCCTGCAATATATAGGAAATCAGGGACACTTCCAGAGTCCATGATAACCATGTACACGAGAAGTATATTCAACTACAGCTCCTGACGAACTGCATGGACTAGCAGATGGACTCACAATGGAGCATCTGTAAAGCTGGGGGTATGGTGGATAGCACATTTACTGAGCTGGTCACACTACTAGTAAGAGCTACAGAGGCAGAAAAGCATTGAGTGACCATCAGGAAGATCAATAGGTGTGGGCAGGTAGTGCTGGAATCCCCTATGGCCATTCCCCTCTCAAAATGTTTTCATGTAGAGGATTGTAGAAAAATGGAATGTGGTGCCTGAGAGTGTGGTAGAGGCTGGAATTCTCACAATGTTTAAGAAGCATTTGGGAAAGCACTTAAAATGCCAGGGATAAGAGACTATAGACCAAGTACAAGTAAGTGGGATTAGTGTAGCTTAGTGTTTTTTGGTTGGCATTGACATAGTCGGCCAGAGAGTCTGTTTCTATGTTGTATGATTCTATGACTGTATATTTCTATGATGTAAATATTCAGAGCCATGGTGTTGGCGTATGCTTGTTGCCATCAATAAAAACATTCTTGAAAATGTTCTCATCTTGTGTGTGTTTCTTTTCCCCAATTAACTTAGGTAATAGATGTGCCTTCTATTTGCTTACTAAAGTGGCAACTGACTGTGTGGGGAATTGAGCATGCAATAATGCATACTATGGCTTCATGCCACAGAATTTAGAGTTTCACTGCATCTCCATAGTTACCTTTAATGATTATCTAAAAAACAAGGTAAATGTCTTGCTTCTTTTCAGATTACTTAACTGGCTGTTACATACAAATTTTAAAATCTTCTTTCGCAATATTCCATTCTATCTGAGCAATCAGTGCTTTCCAAGTGGGTCATTGGATATCTTCAAGGCTGAACTGTAGAGATTCATGTGGGTTTGGGGGGTGTTGAGACCACAATCAGATCAGCCGTGATCTTATTGACTGACCAATTGACGGGCTGAATGGTCTTCTCCTCCTCCTATCCCTTGCGTCCTTGTGGCGAGATGGATGGAAAAGGGAACATCGCAATTTGCTGGAAGCATTGTAACACATCTGTTTGTACTCTTTTCCCCTTTTCCAGTGACTACATCATTAAAGAGAAGACAGTCCTGCTGCAGAAAAGAGACAGCGAAGGCTTCGGATTTGTGCTGCGAGGGGCGAAAGGTGAGCGTGGTCAGAGCGGGCCATGACCTTCCTCCGTGATGCCGCGCGCTCCCTTCTGGTGCTCACAGGCTGGCTGGGGTACCAGCACAGTTGGCAGATCAAGAGAGGCAGGCAGATTGAGCGTGCTTCAGTTGTGAACGCTCAGCCTGTCCCTCTTCTGGGGGCATTTTCTGCAGATACAGGCAACGCCACTGGGTCAACGGAATGAGTTCATGGCATGATACACCAAAGAAAGAGGGCAACTGTGGCAGTGCCAGGCCTTCGGATGAGCTGCCCGGTTATCGTCTGGCCCCGGTGGCTCTGCGAGTTATTTCTGTTTTCATTCTGGTGACCAGCCCTTCTGCTGCTGGTAGCAGTTTCTCCTTAGTCTCGTAGGAATAGGAGCAGGCCATTCAGCCCCCTCAAGCCAGTTCCAGCATTTGATTTTCTCCTTTCTCATCCTGCACACCGTTGTCGAGCAGGCTTCACTACTTCAGTCTCTCCAGTCACTTGGTGAAGGAAGTCAGTGGGTAGTGTTCCTGCCTCTTAGCTAGTACGTCCAACCCAAGGACCCAGTGACCAAAGGAAGGTCCTGTTCATGTCACAGTCAAACAGGGTGAGTACCAAACTGCCAACCCCTTCCAGCACACGCTGGGGACGGGCAGGAAGAGCCGGGGAGACTCTGCTGAGACACGCAGTGGGAAGAAAGTTGGAATCTCTACCAACAATATCTGTCACTGCAGACCGGGAGGAAATAGTATGTTACCACAGCAACCTGCATCCCTCCCAAGTGAACTGTAACACACAGAGAGGAATCTTCCAGCTTTCCAAACCTCGGAACGTTGCCATCCCTGGTCCGATTCCTGTTAAGCTCCTATGCACCCTCCCCAAGGCCTATTTATCATTCCTACCCATGCTGCCTGCTTCTGGTCGCAGTCTCTAGCTGGAGCCTAAGTGGGGTTTAGCGTCTTGGCATGCTCCGTTGTAAGCTGATGGTTTTATTTGTGGGATGTGGGCATCATTCGCCAGGCCAGCATTTATTGCCCATCCCTAATTGCCCAGAGGACAGTTGTGGGTCAACCACATTGCTGTGGGTCTGGAGTCACATGTGGGCCAGACCAGGTAAGGATGGCAGTTTCCTTCCCTAAAGGACATGAGTGAATCAGGTGGATTTTTTCTGGACCATCATTGGACTCGTAATTCCAGATTTTTATTGAATTCAATTTCTGCCGTCTGCCATGGAAAGATACACGTTTAGGTCCCCAGGACAGCTTGGTCCCTGGATTAATAGTCTAGTGTTAATACCACTAGGCCATTGCCTCCCCACGTGTGGTTAATGATATGGTGTTATGTGTGGACTGGGCAGGTGCCTGGGATGGCCACTCTGCTTGGAAAACACCAGTGCAGTGGGCACACCCTCATTACCCTCTCCATCATCACCAACACCTTCCACCCTTTATGCAGCCCTTTGCTGGGGCAAATCCAGGGCGTCACTCTCCCTTGGCATGAAGGGGGCCCGGGCAGGATGTTGCTGCCCTCACGGCACCCTGCAAAGCGGGTGTGTGGCAATGGCGCAAGCTCTCCGGCGTTGACAAGACATTGCTGCCATCCCTAGGGTCTGGGACGAGTGCCAAATGCCTCGTCACAAACACCGCACCCTCCCTGTGTACCTTACCCTTGCCCTGACCCGCTTGCCCATCTACGCCCCTTTCAGTGATATCTTCCCGAGCTTTTCGAGTGCGTTGAGCACAACGTCGGAGTCCGCATTTAGAGGGGAGTATAGCTGTACTGGAGGCAGTTCCTGAGCAGGCATTTGGCACTCTTCTCTTACCCTTTGGGTTGGATGTTAGTGGAAACCTCCATTCCCTTCTTGTGGGGTGAGGATATTCAGGTCCGAATTGCCCCAAAGTGGGGCTGGACCGAGGGTGAGGCTCCCAGCGGAGTGGGTGACAGTGAAGTCGGACGTAATTTGATGCGGGGAAGGGTTGGTATGTTTTTGAGGGAGAATGGGGTGTTTTAGGGTTGCCTGGGTTTGTAACGAAGAGGAGATCCGTATTGCAAGTTGGCTGATGCAAGCCAACTGAGGCAAGAACAGAAGGAGTAGAGAGGGGAGTCCAAAATCAGAGGGCACGGGCTTAAGGTGAGAGGGGAAAGATTTAAAAGGGACCTGAGGGGCAACTTTTTCACGCAGAGGGTGTTGTGTGTCTGGAATGTAGTGGAGGCTGGTACAATTACAACATTTAAAAGGAATCTGGATGGGTACATGAATAGGAAGGATTTAGAGCGATATGGGCCAAGTGCTGGCAAATGGGACTAGATTAATTCAGGTCAGCATGGACAAGTTGGACCAAAGGGTCTGCTTCCGTGCTGTATATCTCTATGACTCTATGATTCCATCATATTGACCCCTCGTGCCTGTTCTGCCATTCAATAAGATGATGGCTTTCACTGCCCTCTCCCATTTGATGCCTACTCCACTGGTAACCTCACCCTCCTTGCAGTCCCACCCAGAATGACTTGGGGCAATTTGAACGTAGAACGGTAAAGCACAGGAACGGGCCCTTCGGCCCACAATGTTGTGCCGAATTTGACTCCAAATTAAACTAATCCCCTCTGCCTGCCCTTGGCCCGTATCCCTCCATCCCTTGCATATTGATATGCCCCTATTGTATCTGCCACCCCCACCACCCCCTGGCAGTGCATTCCAGGCAATATCTCCAATATTTCCTCACCAAGGGCAGGGCAGAGGGATCAATAAGATCATGGCTACAACAGCTACTCCCCAGTAACTCTCATCTCCCCACATCAGTTACAAAATGAGGAGCAAATTACTGCAGATGCTGGAATCTGTACTGAAAGCAACAAAGGATCAGGCAGCATCCTTGGAGAGAGAACAAGCTAACATTTCGAGTCCAGATGACTGTTCCACAGAGCAGCGAACCTCTGAGGGAACAAGAACATTGTCTTCATTGAGACATCCGTCATTTTTTTAAACTGAGCCCCCGAGAGCGAGACTCATCCATGATGGGAAAAGTCTCTTCAGCATCTACCCTGCCAAACCCTCTCAGAATCTTGCATGTTTCAGTAACATTGCCTCTCCATCTTCTGAGCTCCAATGGGTACAGGCCCAACGTGCTTAACGAAGACAAAGCCCTTAGTCCCAGGAAACAGCCCAGTGAACTCTCTCTGAGCTGCCTCCAACACGGGTATAATGGTCTCCTTAAATGTGGAGACCCAAAACTGTGCTCAGCGCCCTCTCAAATGTCTGGATGATATCACAGTCGAAGGGACAAAGAATGGACGGGTCACTGAGGAGGGTCAGATCCACAGGGAAGCTGTGCCCTGAGAGCGTCCTGCTGCATGTGGCACTTGTGTGTGGGTCTTCTGAGCCTTCGGGAGCTGCCGGTCAGTGCCAGGCTCACCCCCTTCCCTCTGGTGCTAGTGCTAATTCCAGGGAAGGGAACGTGGGAATTCCAGGGAAAGGTTATGGGGAAAGTGTGGAGCGAGGGTTATCAGACCAGCCGCGATTTCACTGAATGGCAGAGCAGGCTCGATGGGCTGAATGGCCCACTTCTGCTCCTTTGGTCTGAAGTTGTGTTGAAGTTGGGAGGAGCCAGGAGTTTGTTTATCCCACCCTTAATGCCACGACAGGTGAATGGGTGAAGCTGGCATTTCTCAGCTCAGGCTCTACAGCAAGTACCTGTTGTGGGTGATTAGTGAGTGGCTATAATGCTGCTGGTGCTTGCTGACAATGGGAACAGTGGCTCAGTACTGCAGAACCGGAATCTTGCTGGGAAAAGGAAATCAAAACTTTTGCTCTTGCACTCAGCAGGGCTCACGAATCATGGACGTTTCTATTGGCACATCTCGACCAATCAGAGTAGACTTGTCTTTTCATGAATTTAAATAAAAACTTTGTCCCCTGCTGCAATATCCATGGCAACGCCTTGACCTATCAGAATCCACTCGCTGACCAATCAGCACCATGTTTTCATGCTGTATAAATTGTGGTGAGAGTCAGAGAGGGCTACAGCACCGAAAAAGGCCCTTCAGCCCATTGAATCTGGGCTAAAACGCCCACCAAACCACTCTAATCCCATTCCCCAGCACTTGGCCCATAGCTTTGTATGCCCTTGCACTTCTTCAATGTGATGAGTGTTTCTATCTCTCCCACCCTTACAGGGAGTGAGTTCCAGGCTCCTACCCCCCTCTGGGTGAAAATGTTTTTCCTCACATCTCCTCTAAACCTCATCTCCCACTGCACCATCCCCAGTGCTATCAACTTCCCTCCTATTATGTGGATTCCAGAACTGCACACAATAGACCATTAGTTTATACAGTTAGATTTGATATTCTTGCATCTGTCCTGATGAGTGCCAAATGAAAAACTTATTGATAGCTGGAGAGTTTTAGTTATGAAGAAAGAGATTGGACAGACTGGGGTTGTTTTCTTGGGAGCAGAGGAGATTGTGAGGTGGCATGATGAAGATGTGTAAAATTATGACAGGTACAGATAGGGTAGACACAAAGAAATGTTTCCCAGCAATGACAATATTGAGAGTATGTGAAGAGAGGTAATTTTCAGAAAACAGCAAAGCGTCACTTTGTTTCTGAAGAGAATAAGTTCATGTGGCTTTCAAAAGAAAGTAGAATCACAGACAGTGTGGAAGTAGGCCATTCAGCCCATCGAATCCACACTGACACTCTGTGAAGCAACCCACTCAGACCCACCCCTATCCCTGTAACCCTGCATTCCCCACGGCTAACCCACCCAGTCTGCACATCCCTGGACACCATGGGGTAATTTAGCACGGCCAATCCACCCTAACCTGCATATTTTTGGGCTTCCACATTATTCAGCTTCTGGCACTGGGTTCACACACTGGTTGCACCAGTGGAAGTACAAGCGTGCAGTACAGGAAATTGCTGTGTAACTCCTGTCAGAGACCACTGGCGAGCACATCATTTCCTATACCCCCACCGTTTGAGAAAGTTCAGGTCCAAGCTGCTGCTTGCTGGTGACAATAAGGAACTGGTACAACACCAGGGGCACTTCTGAATGTGGGGTTCAGACATAAGTTTTGCGACAAGGTTGTTCTACTCCAGATCCAACTGGGCCGTCCCCATTCCTGAAGAGCATTTGATGGGATCGTGTGGACTCTTTCTGTATCTAACACTTTCCCAAGGGCACCAATAAATGTTGGCCCAAGTCAGTAATGCTCACTTTGCAGGAATGACTGAAAACGAAACCTTGTTGTGCTTCTCCTGGGAGTGTTTGATAGGACAGTGTAGAGGAGCTTTACTCTGTATCAAACCTCATGGTATCCCTATTCTGGGAGTGTTTGATGGGGACAATATAGAGAGAGGTCCATTCTGTATCTAACCCCATGCTGTCCCTGTCCTTGGCGTGTTTGATGAGGATAGTGCAGAGGGAGCTTTACTCTGTAAATAACCCTGTGCTGTCCCTGTCCTGGGATTGTTTGATGGGGATAGTGCAGAGT